GTAAATTATACTTCACTGTAAAGTACCACAGGATCATAATGAGATTATGAGATGATGTGGGGAAGTTTGCTAGCTACATCATCATCTTTCCTACGTAGACATTTGCTAAAGAATAATCTGGTCTCCAAGTGTATGGTAGATGCAACTCTAGTAAGTCGTGGGGAAAAGAAAAACCCCTGGCTGCTAGTGACTGAAACCTACAGTAGCCGATGAAAACATGTGTCTCTCTCGGATTTGTTGGGTTATTGATTCGTTTTGCAGTTTGTAAGGTGGTACCTGGAACTGTCACTGAAAGTGAAGGCAGGAAGAGTGATGTGGAGATCATAGATGTGCTTGAGGGTCGAAGGAAGCATGGACGTACGTGCTCAGTTTGTTGGTAAACAAATGAACTGACTACTTTACCACAGTGCGCACATGTGTATGTGCGTGTGTGTTTGTGTGTGTGTGTGATATGTAGGAATACAAATGTTGTATGCATGCAAGTGTGCGAACGTATCTGCAAGTGATTATTATATCTATGCATGAGTGGGTAAGACAGCCGCCGTGGTGAAGCGGCTAGAGACTCACTTGCGGATTTGAAGATCCTGGGTTTGGGTCGTGACGAAGCTGGGTCGGAAGGTCAGGGTTTGGGTAGTGACGAAGCCGGAATTTTTTTCTTTCAAAAATTACTTTGGCTCTCATGTCGAACCAGCCTTGAATGGGTACCATGTGGAGATCTGGAAAGTAAAGGGTGCCTGCGTGATGCTGACCACATCACCAACCCAGTGCCGATGGGTCCTCTGCTTCTTTTTCTTCTTCTGCGTTCGACATCAGTCATGCTAAACAATGAGTTCAGTCTGGATCACAAATAGGATTGTGCGTTTAAGGTCGCCACCGGTTTCCCATAGCTTCTCTTGCAATGTGGGTCCCTTGGGCCAGATCCACAGTCTTTGCTGGGAGAAGTTGTGGCAGTACTGCAGTGTGTGCTCAGGGGTCTATCTTTCTGCTCTACAATCATAGGCAGCAGATTCTGTAATGCATATCCTGTGCAGGTGTGCTCGAAGACCACAGTGTCAGGCCGAAGTCTAAAAATTTATGTTTGTTCTTTCCTGCTGAGTTTTTGAAGATGGGTCTATAAAGCATAGGTCTAGCCCTAGATGCCCAAAATGCATAAAGACGTGGGAAATAGCCCTTTACTTTATGCGTAGGTAAGTATATGAGTATGTGTATGTATGGGTTTGTATGATTGCGTATGCATGGGAGTGTTTGTATATGTTGGCACTTTGCTGTGTGAAAGACAAGTCATTGGAGGGGTCAAATATCTGCTGGATCTACGTACTCAATGTGTAGCCTGTTGGAAATAATGTTCATTCCATTTTCTTTTTAGAAACCTAAACTCGGTGCAATATACCAGAAGGAGATAATTAATTCCGTGAAGAATACGTCGGAGGGAGATGTTAAATGAATACTCTACTACTCTACTTGATGCAGAGAACATCAGAGGGAGATTCTCAATTTCTTGTAGAGTGAAGAGTATACCACGGGGAGATTCTTGATTAACCCTCCACTCGAGGCAGAGCAGAGCACATCAGAGAGAGATCTTCAGAGTTTTAGTGTGAGACCAGAGTTTTTCAACCTTTTCACGCCCGCAGACCAGCAGTATGGGAGAAATTGTTTCAGTTGACAACAAACTAAAAGCAGAAACAAAAACGTACATGGGTAGCAGTTTATTTGTTAAATGTTATGCCATAAAGTTATAATTCTGAGCCAATGCGACATTTATGCTTAAGGGTTAGAAAGTCTGAAGACAATAAATACGTACTTGAAACTTTGTGTTACGGAGTAAGTTACACAATAATTCTCTTCTGAGATCAATGCACAATTTGCCAACAGTAATCAGAGAATTTTACGATAGGAACAAACACCAGGAAGACAGGTGGGCTGAGACTTAACGTTAAATGTTAGTACTGCCTTATTGTACTAATTTTTATTTACATATATTAACATATCTGGCTGCTAACTGATGATCTGAACATCCCTGCGAATTCGAAAGTCAAGTCTTGGATAAGAAAAAAAAAAAACTTGGCAGATCTCAGATACTCAATGGTTCAACCTCCAAAGAAGTGATGTTTTGAATAAAGGATCAGTATCATGGCACACGGGTATATAAGTTCTCCGTTCTTGTTCTAACTCAAGTCTGAGTCCGAAGAAGCTCAGCACAGTGCACACGCTCTGCAGCACCGGTGAGGATCCTGAAATACTTTAGGTAGATTTTTAACTCCAAATTTTGCCCGGGCAGCACCATCAGGCTAATCTTTTGAATTTCCAACTGCCAAGTGATTTTTTTTTACGTGCGCAAAAGTGCACACGGGCGTCAGATCTCACTACCCAGAATCCAGGGGGAATTACTTGAAGTCAAAGTCCAAGTAAAAAAATCCCAGGCCTTACTGGGGATTGACCCCGGAACCTCTAGCACTCGAGGCGGGCACCATGTCTAAGGACCACACCAGCCCCACCCCTTTCTACAGAAGTTATGTTAGGGCACCTGTAGCAGCTACACCAACCTGTGTCTCACCTCAGAGTGCTCTCCTCTCACCTTGTAGCCATTAGAATTATTGCCTTAGAATTTATCTAGAAGCCAGAGCTCAAGTGACCTGACTGGAGGAACACAAACTGCACGTACCAAGGTATCTCGATTCAACAGAATAAAATAGCTGGCTGTGATCAATTGCGAACCACAACAAATATCAGACCAACCTGTTATGTTCCACACTTTAATGTCGGCAAGCATTTGGTTCTGATAACCTCAACTGCTAAGAGTGTTAACGTGGATTAGATAAAAGTTAAATGTTCGTTTTGGTGTTAAATCATAAAATGAAAATTTCTACTGGTTGTGTTATTTGTGTTAACAACAGTACAGCGCAATAACGAAAAAGGTGAACTGATCTCAATCCTGTCTATTAAAACGTTAAACTGAAAGCAGTGGGTGAAGATATTCAAGTATTATTATTAACTGTTTTTTTTTTTCTGCTGGCTGTTATCTCTCATTGGAGAATATGTCTTTAAATAACTCACGCAACCCCCCTTGTAGAACTGTATATTATTTGAACAAAGACACATAAAAAGGTCGCACAATTTACTGCCTTACATATTTTGCTGTAGCTCGAGGAGCGCACACTACAATACAGTTGAATACAACGATGCAAATAAATGAATCCTCAAAACAGAAATTACACTAACACATGTAACTGCCGTTTTACCAAGATAAAACGACCACCTCTTTTTGTCTGCACAAATCTGGACGCAGGCGAGTGATTGTGAAATGTTACCGATAACATTATGTGCAGTGTTGCCAGATTTGCGAAGCAACATTGCTTGGCTTGTCATTATCTGCCGGATAATGCGCCTACAGTTTTCAGCGAGATTTTGTAAGACTCGCGTCAGCACTCCTTAGTCGCCTTTTCAGACATGCACGCAAGATTTACTGTATTATTATTATTTGCTCTTTGTTTTAATATGCCCAGTAAAACATAGATGACTACAGGACCAGGTAAAAAATCACGAGTATTTAGTTATCTCTCTCTCTCTCTCTCTCTTTCTCTCTCTCTCTCTCTCTCTCTCTCTCTCTCTCTCTCTCTCTCTCTCTCTCTCTCTCTCACGGAGCCCCCCCCCCCTTTCCACCCGCCCAACCACATCCCTGTTGACCACATTACAGACATGATATACTGTTTAGGGATGAACCGCAGTTTTCCGGTAGCTTGTTGTTGACGGGAAAGTCCTATGCTCTAAACTACCGAAGACCTTGATGGAAAAATACTGTTAAATGTTTGATTTTAACCCTAGGGTTTTCTTGTTTGCAATTTGAACAATTTTACCCATTCAAAAAATTTAAACAAAAGATTTGAACGTCATAATGTTCCTTTCAGTGGCTGTTGGTTAGTTACACTGACAGGCGATAATAACAGTCTGTGTTAGCCACTGAGCTTTAGATGATCAACTATTACTCAACACAGCTTGAAAGTGGAAATCCATCATGATGAGGATACGAGATACCGTAGATGTCACAGAATAATTTCTAAGACACTGTGTACCATGACAATTTGTTTATCAAAAACTGATATTCTACAAGATCAGAATGTCGAAGAAAACTTCACAATAACAGCGCCATGTCTTGGTAAACGAATTCTTCTTCTTAAAGTCCATGCCATCTGGCGTTGTGGTCATGTATATCCACAACCTTCTGACTGGTGTACTTTCAATCAACTCTGACATAAATGATCCTTTATGCCATTACGTCAAACTGTTCAGCATCTGTTTTCTGGGTCTCCCCCTGTCTCTTCTCTCCTCATACTTTCCTACTGTCACGATGTACTTCAGTCTTCTCCTTGACATCACACGATCAAAGAATGTAGATAAGTCTTTTTCTAATGTGGTCAATGAGTTCTCTTCGTCAGTCAGTTTCAGAAAACTCAATACTGACTTGTATTAGAGTTCATAAAGATTTAGGACATACACAAACGAAAAGCGTGGATCCTAAAAGAAGAGCCAACGATTGAGCAAGTGGATGGTAACGTGGGATGTTAACAACACCCTAGATCTGGAAATACATGAGACGTCGGACAATGGGAAGGAGCTATGAGTTGTGAGCAACCTTCTGGAAGAACTGTAATATACACTGTGACTTCTTAGATCACGACTATTCAACTGAGTTTACTCATGGGTTACAGGTCTGGAAATGGTGATCCCCACGGACCAGAGGACTGAGTTCCAGCATAGACAGATCATTAATACAACAGAACTGGTAGTGGTCTAAGAGCCACTTACTAAGCCAGATTTGACCCGCGGGTAGCCAGGTTAATAGCCATTGTTTATCCTACAGCAGGGTTATGGAGACTGATGACTGAACACTATTAACAACAAATACTAGATCCTAATAATTACCATGCCTTCAAAAAGAATGTGAATTACAATAACAGTGTAATTAAAAGAACTGACACTGTGAGCTAAGAAAAATAACCTACCTCTGCGTCGGTTCTGTCCTTCACCACGTTCTCGTTGGTAGTTTTCAAGTACTTGGCCTGATCCAGATGGTCTCTTCGCTGGTAGAAGGGCTCTCCGACGACCACCAGCACCAACAGCAGCGCGTGAACCAACCCCACCAGCAACGTCCTCCACCACAGCATCTTATCCCACCCGACCACAAATAAAGTACTCGTGCGTTAAGCAGCAATAGCAGCAGTAACAGCTAATGGTTATCCGCAGATGAAAGAGCAAACTGTCCACTGGCCTGAAGACATAGACAAAGGCCAACACAAGATTTATTTTGTTCAGTCCAACAAAGTTCAATCGCCTGAACGTCCTTTCCTTCTATTAATCCAAAACCAGTCTTGATAACAGTAATGGTTTGTGTTCGATTTGTGTGTGTGACGACAACTGGATTATAATGACAGTTGCTGGATGTGATAGCTGGATGTCACGTGGTTAGCTCCATAGTCGCTGTTGTAGGTTGGTAGCGCTGACATAAACTTCCAGGTGAAGCGGTTTTAATAACACGGGTGCAACGTTCACGTCAGAAGATACCCCTGGGGTGCAGTGACGAACAAACACACACACACAAAAAAAAACAGTCGCAATGAGAAAAAGTAAACTGTATGCCTTCGTTATTTATCTGCAGAATATGAAATAACGTTTCCTCGGTCTAAACCTTAGTGAACATTGGAGAGACCAGACGCTGAGTTGTTGAGAATGCTGCTGTCTCTATGAAGTCCTGAAGAAACGCAAACAGATGATGCCAGCTTTCTTGTGCTTCACATTCTGTCACGTCACCTGTTTTTATACACCTTGGTCAGTAGCTAGTTTGACGTCACTGACAGCGCCGTTCTCTCAACTGAATTCCCTCTCCTGCAAGGCACTTCCGCCGGTCAATAGGCTATAATTAGCTGCCTGCAGATTACAAATAAAAAAGGGGGTGGGGGATGAGAGCTAATTAATCGTTAGTGTTTGTGAATGAATGCGACAAACCTCTCCCCGCTCTGCTAGTCTTGCCTACTAGCCCAGGCTACAAGTGCTGCACAGTCTCGCCTACGCATATTACCTGTATCAACTACAGTATTTCAAGCATCACACTTGCATATTAACTGTTTTAAGGGCCAGACGTCTACAAACTCCCGACACAGATTGTCTCGTTCTTTTCTGAGCAAAAAAACCTGTTCCCGTCATTTGCCACCCGCTTCAGCGCGCGACAGCAACGCTACAGCGCGAGACACTACTGGTGCGGCAAAGAAGAAAAAAACACAGACAGCTTATAATGCAGTGCTCCTCAAATTTTTTTTTAAAACACCCGCCACCCAACACAACTATGGACTCAGTTTCGCGACCCACCCCACCCCCCCCCCCCCCCAATCCCTGACAGCTAATAAAACATCATCATCAGGGACCTTGTCGACTGGCGTGGGCGATCATGCCTCTCCACTATATGCGATCTCTTGCAGGATATATCAGTTCGTGTGCTGACACACCTCCATGCCATGCGACAAGACTATTAAGAATCTTCTCTTGTTGTCTTTCTCTACCCCTCCTTCCACAGATCTTTCCACTGGTCACAACTTGTTCCATTTTCCCTCTTTTCACAACACGGCCGAAAATGATGACTGTCTCCTTCTGATGTCTGTGATAAGTTGTCTTCGGGCTCCCGCCTCTTTGAAAACCTCTTGATTTCTCTTTTTTTTTTTTTTCCTGTCTATGGGATTTTAAGCTTTTTCTGTAAAACCACATCTCTGATGCCTCAAGAAAATGTTTGGCCTGCCTAACTATTGTCCAGGACTCACAGCCATGTATTAAAACTGTATGTAGCAAGCAAGAATTCTTTTTCTAACCTTCATTGACAGAGATAGATTGTATAAGATGTTATTTTTTTAAATGCAGTTTTTACCTGTCCTATTCTGCTTCTTATCTCAGTAATGCATCTTCCTCTGATGTTATCCATGTGCCCAGATACTTAAATGTATGTACTTGTCCCAAAATAATACCACTGACTTTTATAACATATTTAAGAATAATTCTTTTCTTTGATACCACCATTACTTCTGTCTCTCCGTTATTTAAAACGAGGTCCATTCTTGCCCTTTGTACCACCACAATGTCTATCATTTCCTGTAGTTCTTTCTGACTTGTTGCTATCAAGACTGTGCATCAGCATAACGTAAACTGCTTATATTATGCCCACCAACAACAATTCCAAAGGAAGTGTGTGGGAAAAAGGTGGGGTGGGGGACCGCCGTAGCGAAGGGGTCAAATTGCCTCACAGTCAGAAGGTCGTGGGTATAGTTATACGGGATGTGTCGTTCAGTACACGAGTGCAAAGTTTTACAGAGATCCGGGGAATGTCGCCGGTGCTTCGGTCTTCGTGCTTTGTATGACGCTATCGGCAGACTGCTAGCCGATCTGGGGAGGGAGACGAACCATATGCGAAAAAGAAACGGCTGCGACGAAGTCGATTCTCTGGGCTCTGTCTCGCACAGACTGCACAAACTAGTTTCACATATGCTAAACTTCTTTTACAGACACTAGGCACTGAAAGCAGTTACGCATATAAGATAAATACCGGCTTTAAAATCCTGCTGTTTCGGAAATACGACCATGTCATTAGACAAAATATTCACATATATTTCCCCACCTTGTCTCCGACACGTAAATTGTTATCGCGCCAATGAAGAAGTCAAGTCTTTTCAGAAACACTGACAGCTGAGACCTGGAGTCAGTCAGCAAGAGTTTGACCAATCCTGCTAGTTCACCCAAGTCTTATAGTTCTACACATACGACACGTCCCAGTTATTTATCGCATACGTATTCCATTCAACACTGCAACTGCTGTTTTTTTTTAATATGCCTTTTGTGCCCCTTTTCACACAACGAGCAACCATATCAGGTCAGGGGTGTCAGGTGCGGAGTTGGCGAGGGCTGATATAAAGGCGAAGGGACTAGCCCAATCCGTGAGACCTTAACCGCGTTCACAAGCAGTCGAAGAAGGGGATCAAGTTGTATTTGGCCCTGTCAACTCTACCTGTCGGTCGGTGTCCGTAATCTTCTCAGCCCCTCCTCCAAGTCAGTCTTCATGGCTCTACGTATCACCCCCACTCCATATTCCCCCTTCCCTTTCGTTTCCTCCTTTACCCGGGTTTTCCATTGATGTTCTGTCTCCCTTATCTCCCCACCTCAGCGACTTTGTGTGTCAAGAAGGACCGCCATATTTGACTAGCTCTGCCACTATTTTACATTGGCCATTCTCGCTAAAAAAAAAAAAAAACCGACATCAAGTCTCAAACCAGCCGTGTCGGTGTCTACTGCTGTAGATATCGGTGACTGCTGTTGTCTCTCTTGCCCAAAGTCCTCGAGGTAAGTAAACGATTAATCTCACTCAGAAATAACTTGGCTATACCGTACAATTTCGGCACGACTAAGTGCTTTCCATGTAGACAAATCGGACGCGCTACTTGAGGCAACGTATCTTGAATCACCCCTCCCCTCCCACACACACCAACGGCTGCGACCTCTGCCGATAACTTCCCATTGGCTTGTATGAATGAACGGTGTGGGTGTTGACATTTTCAAGACTACGCCGACATTCTAAAAACACTTTTCGACCCCCCCCCCCCCCCACCTTTTTTCCTGTCAACAATTTTACTATTTGCACACGGTCCAGTTATCATACACGAATCACTAACAGCCAACCGACAACCACCTATTCAAACTGACCCACGTCGCGATAAAAGTGTGCTCACTCTGACAAAATTTAGAAGGCACTGGTACATGTTGCAGCGTGCCCAACACCAGAAGAACTGTGCCACAGACCAAATCAAGCAACGGTAAAACGGAAATTTGTGTTAATCAATGACACGGCTCTTAGTCAGGTCAGTGGACTGGGAGTGTTGGCAGTCTACTTACAGTCTATTTACTGGTAAATTGCCTAGCATCGCAAATGCGTAAGGTATACGAAGTAGTCAGGGGAACAATCTCAAACAGAACAACAAAAGAATCGACCCCAGGTCTTAAGAATCATGTCCGCCGATGAACTCGTGAATTTTATAGAGGCAAGTGGTCTGATCTGAGCATTTGAAACCGAACACAAAGAAGAAGACTTATGAGTTAGATAATCTTCACAGCAATCAGGACACAACCATAGGGGTTCAGATTCTCCTCTCAACATATTCATCAGCGTCGTGCGGTTAATAGTACCAGTCCTGTGTTGGTTAACAAGACTTCGTGTGCGTCCAGTGTGCTTCTCATGCTTGGCTGTGCCGATCTTTACTCCCAATTTGCGTATTTCTTAGCAGTAATGTGGACACGCTGCTTCCAAAATCCTCAGAACGTCCTATCTCACTGAGGGCAATGATAATGTCTGCGGGCGGCCATCTTTAATTAATGCAGTACATGCCAGTCTATCAGCTCTCTTATTACCAACAACACCTGCATGCCCTGGGTCGAATTTGAAAGTAACTGCACACACATGAGAATTTTGCAAGGACTCAAACCACTGTCTGCGTAACCAGCCTGCCTCGACCCGCCGGATAATGCTTAAAGAATCACTCAGCACACACACGCATGGAATAGTCCTGTGATCCCAGTCACATGAAAGCCTGTGTCACCGCCATCACCTCCATCGTCATACTGCTGGTGGTCATGGAGAAGGCACCGCTGGCTTCCTTAACTGTTCTGCCTGAAGAGCTAGCTGTAAATGCCCGTGCACTTTTATGTCCTCGTTTAAGGGACCCATCTGTGAAGATTACCACATCTATCTCAACTGACTTGTCATTGATAAGTGCGCATACCTCGGCATTGAAAGCAGCTGGATTCTGCTCCCGACAATTCCAATCGAACGTCCGACACAGGAGAATGTGAGAGTGGGCGCTCTAGACGCTGGTATCCACTCCTCACCTGGATGGATGTCTCAAGGCTGCAAACCTGCATGATGTCATCCTCTGCCCTATACCCAGCCATGATTTTCCCCCTTTTTAAGCCTATTGCCCTTTTTCTTGAAGAGTGATGCAAAGGGTGCTTCAGATCTGAGCTTATCTTGAGGTATGCACGAGCCCTCCAGATCTTGATCCTGTAGTTCATGGTAGGGAAGTCAAGAAGGTACCTCATTGCTACACAAGAGGTGTCTCCAGTGCACCCTAGAATAATG